CTGAAAAGGGCCCAGCAGCCCTCATGGAAGAGGGGCTAGTCCTCCATGAACATCCCCTACACCCCATCCAAAAAGGAGTATTTCAAGCACCAGGTAAATACAGTCAAGATCCCACAAGATCTAGCAACCTCAATAGTAAAGGAGAGGATATGTTAGAATATAATGTTTCAAAAGGCAAGATCGATCAATCAATCAATCAATCAATAAAGCCTTAAATTCAAGAATAACTTACTTTGCAAAGCTGTGTCACCTTACAGGGGGAAAAAACAAACCTTTAAAGCAACAGAGGAATTTAAGTCATGTCTGGTGAAAAGCCAGAGCTGGGTAGGGACTTTGAAATAGAAGGGAAAAAGTGAAAAGAAACCTAGAAAGGAAAATTTATCTGAACAATTGGAGTTATATGCTGACATTAGGCTAACATTTGACTAGAGGGAGAAGAAACAAGTGTCCCCTCAGGCCTTTAATATCTTCAAAGGGTACCAAAGGAGGGGTAAGAAAAAGGGGGGGCAGTGTAATCGAAAGGATTATATACTGTACAGATTCAATTTAGGGTTATTATGGGGATAGGCAGTAGAACATTTATTGATTACTACTATTCTTAATACCATATGTGTCCCTACTGGATATATATTTGTATGTGGAAGATCCAATATTCTTTTAATAGTGTGTGAAGCTTTACCAAATTTGATTCTTTGGGATATGATTACTACATTAAATGCTTTCCAATGTTTAAGCCCATACAAAAATTATGGCCAATGTACACTAGGAGTAATAAATCCTGGAATATAATTATATAATTATACTAATTCCGTAAACCATAACAGAAGAAGAAATTCTTGGGATAATTTTTTATGGTGGATACAAAAGGCTACTGCCTTTCTAATCCCTTGGGTAGGATATATTGATCATGAAATGGTATTGACTATTACCAAAACTATCAAAATTATTGCTACATATATTATTAGTAATAGTCTTATTATTGATTTTTGGACCTTGTATTTTACAATGTTTGGTTTCTTTTGTTTCTGTGTGACTACACTTCTTTCTGTGAGCTCATGGTTTCCCCTGTAATAGATATGTGAACTTTCTCCAATATCAAGGTGAAAAGTTTTCTTGGCCTCCCCTCTTCTTAGGGGATGATGTGTGATGTTTGTTGTTTGTATTAAAGTTAAGTGTTTTTTTGTGTATTGTTTCTGATCAGGGATTGGGTCGGATCTAGAGGCCAAATGTAAGGGAAACGGAGGAGGGTAGATCCTGCCCAGCTCCCTGTGTAACTGTCTTATGACCTGACATAAAGGTAAAATGGAGTCATCAAAGCGTGGCCAGGATCAAGGAGACTGGAATATTAAATAACAACTAAACAATGTTACCTGGGAAAACAATCTATCTCAAGGAACATTTTTTTTTCTTGAGAAAAGCACGTGATTGTCCAAGGAATTGATCACTCCTTGGATAACCACACAACAAACAGGTAGTTGGAGCTCTGATCGAGCTCCAACCATTGTTAGAATGTGTACATACCCTGGATCTGCCTACTCACTACGGAGACGTACACAAAACGAAATATCAAGATTGTCTTTCCCTGGTTTACATGGATACAAAAAGGGTCATTGGAAAGGGAGATTTTGGAGACTTTGGTTGCAGAGATAGGGACACCGATTCATTGCCAGAAGCGGATGGCGTGCACGGCTTTCGTTGTGTTTTGGGGTAGGACGCTCCCCGTTGCCTCCCTGCCCAGACCTTTTGGCCATTCTCCAGTCTCCCCAGTCTATTAGATATTTGAGCTCACCTGGTCAGTGAGTATGTATCCTTTCTTTTCTTACTCCTACTTTCCTTTATGTTGATTATTACTTATTGCATTGAATGTTACTCTTACCTTTATTGCCCGTGTGGTTTTTAATCATTATTAATCATTGTAATTAAATGTGATTATTGGTTAAGCTTATCCTGAGTACGTGTCATTATATCTTGAGATCCGAACCTAAATTGAATCTGCGCAGTATGTAATCCTTCTGATTACACCCAGATTGGTTCTGTTCCGAAGATCTGAAGAGGAGAAAGAAAAAGGAGGGTAAGAGGAGGAAGACACTTAGGTAGAAAGGAGGAGGAAGGAGGGGATGGCTCTTACTATTTCTTCTAAGTAGCTTATGTGAGAAGTATATATAAACATGGAGGCAGGCAGGCATGGGGGGCGGGGGGCGCTGGCAACAGAGGATCTGCACTCTTATCTCAGTCAGACTAGGGTTGAACACACACATATTGTTGAGGAAATCTTCTTCCAGGAGGCCTATACCTCACTTGATCTCAGGACTATCCATGAGGTAATCCCCAGGGTCAACAATGTCCATTTTCAGGAATTCTGGTCTCTTACTTGTTCACCTCAGAAAAGGGAACAGAAAGGCAAAATGAGACAGCCAGGAACTGGAGATATAGGAACTCTTCTCTCAAGCTCGCCTTGGCTAGCCCAGGTCACCCAGCCGGGGCTTCTGCTATGAGTAGTCATTTTTCACCTGGCCGTTGGGGCTTGCCAGGTATCTGTCAGATAGCTGGGCCTGCACGCTCCACTTTGCTGCACTCTGGGCTGGAAGGCCAAAGGATTATAATCATTCCAAGGGGCAAAGATACCAATCAGAGTGTTCTGTTTCCTCTCAGTTCATGGGTTGGGGATCTTGTCTGCCTCCTATGGGTGGTGCCCTTCAGACAAAAGTCCCTGACATGTAATTTCATTGAAATGATAAGGCTTATCTGTTTGGGAAAGTCAAATGATTGAACTGTTTTCACTATCTACAAATCCGCAAGTCCTCACTACTGCTCAATAATCCTTCTCCTCTACTTGCCAATTTATTTTATTCCCCATAGAGATTGTTTCAAACTTTTTTCCAGTCTCTAATTCCACTCCAGCCTTGAGGCATTTGATGATGGAGAAGACTGAGGCCATCTCCCCAGAACTCCCTGTGCGTTCAAATAAGATAGCTTTACTCATTCCTAAAGTGAATCTCTCAACGTACGCTCCTGAATCTCTCTTCCTTCTATTCCTTCTTCCAGTACCTTGCTTTCTCATCTCTAATCTCCCCCTCAGCAGGAGATTCCCCCCCACCTCAAATGTTCTTTATCCTCATAGACCAGCTGGGTACCTCTCCAGCTCTCTCCCCACTTTTATTGTTCAACTTTGGGGACAAAGCCATCTAGATCTCAAATGGGGTTTTCTTAGTCATCCTCTTTACCTTTCTCTGTGGCTGGAAAATGTCTTCTCTCTTGATTTCCAATTTCTCTGTTTCTCTGACCTCTCTGTCTTCAGCCTCGATGGGATCTGTCCTTGGGCTGCTTCTCTCTGTTGGACTCGCTCTTTCTCTCTTCTTCCTCGATAATCTCATTCATGACCCCGTTATCAACTACTACCTCTATGTAAATGACTATAAAACCATTCTCTCCAGCAGGCCCCAAACCCCTATGTCCAATTAGCCACAGGACCTTTCTTGCCAGCTAGATGTACAATCAACCTGTTTAGCATTGAGCTAATTCTCTTCTCACCAAGTCTCTCCCATCTGTTCCCACCTGCCACCATCCTACCTATTCTGCAGTCACTTCCCACCTCTAATCCAGCTTTCGGATGAATATGTAGTTTGGCTCAGAACCCTGCAAGGCCTCCGTGTTCCCTATCAAGTCAAGGGCAGACTCTTCCCCTTGGCATTCCACAAACCCTTTCGATTCTTTTCTCACTCTTCTCCAGACTCCACTTAGGCTAAACTGGACCCACTTTCCCCTCTCCTACCTTGCAGCCTTTGCCTTTGCTCCTCCCCTTCCCTCTCCACGCTACTTCCTTACTCATCCTTTAAAGCCCAACCGAATGCCACCTTGTCCAGGAGCCCCCTCTCCCTTCCACCCCCTCGTTGGCCTTCTACCTCAGGTCTTACCAAGTACTTTTCTTGCACCTTTGTAACACACACATGTAGAAAGGGCTTAAAAACCCTTCTCTTCCTCAAGTGAGATGAGAGGACTTCCCCAGACCTAGCATCTTCACATCTTCAGTTCTCAAATCTTTCTCCCCCTTGAATCTGTCCCACAGCCAGTTGGGTCTCTCTCTCTGTTACTTTCTCCTTCCTCAAATTACTCTGTCTTTACTTATCTGTGGAAATACTGCCTCTGCCCCCCCCAAATAGAGGCTGCTGAAAGTCAAGCTGGATAGACAAAGGAAGCTGTGATCCCACTCTCCTGGGTTTGTCTCCTATCACGCAGCACCTAGTCAGTCAATAAATGTTCATGAAGCACGTACTATGTGCCAGACACTGTGGCTGCCAAGACTCTGCCTCCAGTGTATAATCTCACGTTCCTCCTGGTTCATTTTTACAGACCTCCATCGGTGCACGAACAACGTAAGTGCTGCCATGCAGACTCTTTGTCTGAAAACCAGGACTCCTAGCAATTCTGGGCTTTTGACCAGAGAGAAAATCTTTCCCCCCACTACTCGGCCCCTTCCCTGCACGTGAGATGCTCACAGGGTTCTGCACTGCACATATGGGGCTGTCTCAATAAACCGTTGCTGCTCTGAATCCGCATAACCACGTATTTGGGGTCCTACCTGTCCCGTGCTCAGCACAGGCCCTGGCACACAATCAAGCTTCGTAAATGTTGCAGTATTACACTCTTCCCTTCCTAGGCTGTGAGTGCCAAAGAACGAGCCTTCTCCTCAAAATTCCGCACCCCTCTGTCATTCTGTATCTCTCTCTCTGTCTCAGCACCCAACTGCCAACGAAGTGTAACGTTTGCCTCTAGGGATCTAGAATTAAGTGTCTGTGACCAGTAAACGTATGCACCCTCCCCTCCCCCCCCAGCTCTCCTGCCTCATACGTGTAAATAGACTTTACCGCTTTGCAGACAAAGCTGAAAAGCGGTGATGGAAGAAAACCAGGCACTGGACCCCAACTCCAAGAAAACAAGGTGGAAAGCTTGTTCCCATGCAGGAATGACCTTTGTTTAAAAAAGGAACAGGAAGCCAGGCCTTGGAAGTTGGCAGGTGTTTATTGTTCACACAATAAAGCAGCTGATTCCAAGGAACGCCTGGTGGTAGCTCCCTCACCTCCCCAGTGGATGGGACAAGCAGCCACAGTAATTGTATCTGTATTCTGTCCAAATCTCCCATCACTGTGATGTGGGCCAGCCAGTCCTGTTTCACTCGATAAAAGTGAGAATGTAAACAGAGATACAGGGTTCTGGAAACCCACTACCCAAGAGTGTTTGCTGGGTCAAAAGGAGGCATTGAAATACCCTAACCAAATGCCCCTCAAAACAAAGAGGAGACCTAGAGGCTGCACTGAGAAGCAATGGGAAAAGCCTCTCAACTTAGGGCAACCGACAGAAGGAAACTGGGCTATACGTGTGGAGGCCTAGCTATGTCATCTTCCTTGGGAGGCAGGCAGATGAGGGGAATGCAGAGACAGAGGCAGAGGGAGGTAGTGGGCGACTCGTTCCACCCAGGATCCCCTTTCTTGGCAGCAGCTGGCACAGAGAGGATGGAGAGGGGAAAAGGAGAAGGGGAGGTTCCTGGGGTCAGGAGGTCGTGGCCATGGTGGCGGCTGCAGGAGGGGGAGAGTCCGCTGCAGCTTCATCGCCTTCCTCGGAGTCCCACATCTCAGACTGCAGGTAGTCAGCGAACAGCGTCTTAGCCCTGTGCAGGACCTTCCCAAGGTGATGCCTGCGCACCAGACGGTCAAAGTGCATGGCCAGCTCATTGTAGTCCATACTCCGCTTCATGATGTGGTCCCGGTGCTCAAGCAGGAGGGCCAAGCACAAGAAGAGCATGAAGGGATTCCCCCGGCCAAACTCCTGGGGCGGAGGGAGGCTCACGGCCGCCCCAGCCGGTGGCGGTGGCGGCGGCAGAAGCGAAGACGAGCAGGGTGACGACAGGCTTTTCCCCAGAGAGCCACCCTTGTCAGAGGGGCTCCTGGTGCCGCCGCTCTCCTCCGCCCGGTCGGACTCTGTGGACAGTGGGGATCCGGCTGCCGAAGGGGAGGAAGGCACCATCAAAGGCCTCAGGGAAGGAGCTGAGAAGGACTTGGTCATATGAAGAGGCAGTGCCAGTGGAAGGAGAACACTGGCTGGCACGTCGCCCTCCTCCGCTGCCAACTGTTCCAGCAGCTGATGGGGGATGCCCCACTGCGTGTCCTCCCCGGCCTGGGCCCCGTGAGGCTCATGGTCACCAACACTGGCCTGTCTGGCTAAGGGTCTCTTGCGAAGGCTCGCCTCCTTGCTCTCCTCCATCCCCAGGCTTTCTTCCTTCTCTCCCCTCGTGTGCAGCGCCTTGTCTCCAGCCTCATCCAAGCCATAGTATGTGGGTCTCAGCATGTGCCTCTGGCGGACGGGCTGCTCGCCGTCTCTGGCCGGGGCAGGAAAGCCCACAAGTTCTACCTCTTTTTCAGGTGGGTCTGGGGGCAAGGAGCTCCAAGTTACCTCCAGCATCCTCAGAGCATCTTCAAAGGCAAACTCCCGCTTGAGCTCAAGCAATAGCCAACGGTAGCAAAAGAAGAGGTCATCAGCCCCAGTGGAGAGGAGGTAGCTATAGAATTCTGGGTCTGAATACTGGAGCAGAAGCTTCAAGTGGGAGAACTTGATGGACATGGCCTCTCCATCCACGCGGAAGTTGGCCTCCAGACGCTTCATGATGCCACAGAAACAGATAAAAGCATGGCCTTCGTTGTCCATGACTGCCAGGATGGGAGAGGCAATGTCACTCATGCCCTGGCAGTAAGAAATCTGGGGGTGAGTGACTGCGTACGTGGTGAGCAGGTCATGCAGGGCGATGAGGTGGGGGTTGTCCTCGGGGCCTGCATAGTAGGGGTGCGCCCGGTCTGTACGCAGCACGTCCTTGAGAACGCTGCTCCGGATGAACTCCAAGTCCTCAGCGCTGGCACGCTGGTGCCACTCACTCTTCAGCTGGTTGTATTCAAGTGTCTTCCGTTTCATGTAATCCATCCGCTCTTGGCCCGTCAGCCCGTCAGGGTACACATTCAGCAGGTATCGCCACACCACCTGGTGCCAAGAACAAACGGCCCAGTGAGGAGAGAAGCTTCTCCGGGCTCAGGCCACTTGAGCCTGCGCTAACACGTTGCTAGACTCTGATCCTGTGTGCCCACCCGCACACGCACATGCAGTCCCACGCGGTCCCACACAGTCCCATGCCCGCGTGCCTGGCTATGCTGAAGCCAGAGGTGGGAGAGGCACTGGGGCTTAGCAGAACCTCCCTCTGTGCCCTCCCTGACAGTGGCTGAGGCTGAGCTCCTACAGCCCCATCAAACAACCCTGAGCAGAAGGCTTCAGGCTCAAGATTGGGAGAAACACGGGGTCAAGATAGCAAGGTCTAAGGAGAAGGCCAGACAGTGGAATCAGCCCGTGCCCTCTTGTGTCACGTCGCACTGAGGAGTGGCCAAGCCCAGCCCCAGGCCAAGGAGCTCACCTTGCGGAGGGAAGGCTCCACTCCTCCGTGGTAAATTCGCAGCCGCAGCTCTTCAGGCCGGCACAGCTGGCCCTCCCGATTCAGGTAGGTGTGAAACTCCGCATCACTGAGTGGGGGCTTAAAAGGTTTGACGTCTTCCCCGTAGGACCAGCTCAGGACCTGCTGGACCTTGGACAGGGTCCGACCCACCTAGAAAACATACAGAAGTGGGGGTGGGGAACAGAGCTCACCATGACCAACCTATTCTCTGAGCTGTGCCCACCCCTACCTCCCCACAGAGAGAGATGCACCAAGAAACTGGAGAAGCTGGCAAAACCAGAGAGAAACGAGGGCATATCTGAGTTCAGTTCAATAACAAGGACTCCCATTTCTCTAAGTATTTTGAAGTTAACAAAGATGGGCAGGTAAAACAAATATGTTTATCCCCATTTGACAGATGAGGAAACTGAGGCTCAGAAACAAAATAACTTGTTCAAAGTTCCACACATACAGTGGGTGAGAGTAGAACTCAGATCTCCTAATTGCAAGTTCCACTTTCTTTCAGCTGCTCCACAATGTGCAGCGTGGTACCTAAACGGGGCAAGTAAGGCAGCTGCTAGGAGGCCCCAGGGCTCTCCAAGCCGAAGATGGCGTTTACACACCTGAGAGATGATGGACTGTGTGAAAGGCAGAGCCACAGCCGTCAGGGAACGCTTCTCTGCAGGCAGCAGGTCAGCGCCGATGACGTCCTTGGGACTAATGATGTCCCAGTCTTCCAAAAGGGGACCTGAATGAGGCACAGCAGTAAACCAGATCTGTATGAGATTGTGCCCCTGACCCCCCTCCCCAAAAGTGGCCCAATTCCTGACCTGCCAGGAGGCCGGCTAACCAGCCTGTAAAATTCTCTCTCTACAATCTGCACTAACATATGAACTCGATGAAGGGAAGGAGGGGGCTTCGTGGGGGCTCCATACATACTATCTTCCAAAGGCCGGACATCCACTCGAAGCTGCAGGTACGGCTGGGAGGCGCCGCTGAATGCTGCACTCAGATCTCCCTCTGAGGTCAGGGGGATGTAGGCCTCAGGCCCCAGCTTCTCTCGGCCCAGATAACTGATACCAAAGTGCTTCTTCCTGGGAAGACAGAAGTTCAGGACAACCTCGGGCCGGGTTCTGCCTTTGCCTCGGCTAGCTTCTGAGGTGCCCTGGGCAGAGCAGCTGAGTCATTGGGAGGCCCTGGCCTCCAACAGTCCCCAGCTAAGCTCCATTTAACCCAGGCTGGAAGGGGGCTCCTCACCCCCTTAAGCTGTGGTGAAGGACCAGCAGAAGAAAATGGAACAGGTATGTGGGGAAGAAATCTGGGGTCACAGCTAGGTACAGGGGGCGCCACGCAGGAAGAGACAGACCAGCAAGGCAACTGAGCAAAAGGTAGCAGGCTTTAGGGATACCCTTGTTTCTGATTCCTCCCTGGACTTTGTCTATGGCATGTTCCCCAGAAGCCTCATGTGCCCTGGACTTCCTCTGACCAGCTGCTTCCTCTCAGAATCTCTGCTTCATCGCCTCCAGGCTCCTCTCCTGCGTCTCAGGCTTTTCTCTTTCACCTCCTTGCTTGGGCACCTTCTGTCCGACACTCCCTCCCCAACCTCCGCCCCACTCCATTTTTCGGCACCCTTTGTCATTAGAACAAAAGCACCTCGACGGCAGGGACTATCTTTCTCTCTACATGTCTTTGTGTTCCCCAGGTCACACAGCACAGTGCTTGGCCCTCTGTAAGTGCTTAATAAATGTTTCTTGACTTGACTTGATTTTGTCTGCTTAAACCCGTACTGGGTTTCTTGGGTTTAGAGGCAAGAGCTGCTTCAAAACGTCCTACGCTGCCCTTGCTTGGAAGGAACAGGGGACTGGGATTCTTTTCAGTGACAAACCTCTGCACAGTGCCCAGCACTGACTAACAGGGATCGTTTGCCTCCTCCTTTTTGGAAACGAAATCCTTCCGGAATATAGGGCTGGCAGTGGTCTGCATCGCTGAGGCAGAAGCACCGGCTCCGTTCCTAGCTCCTTCCCAGGTTCTCAGGGGCCTGTCTTCCCACAGCCTCTGCCTCCTCCCAGTAGAACGGAAGCTACCTGAGAGCGTGCACTATTGCCCAGCACCAAACAGCATTTCTCACGGCTGAGAAGAGCCTCAGGCAGCCAGGGGAGCTGGCCCGAATTGCTCACGTGCTTGCCCACTCACCCACTCAGGTCAAAGGCCCGCATCAAGATGTGCTGCAGGACGTCTAAGGAGGTGATCTGCGGATCCACAGCAAACGTCCGGAAGTCAGGCTGCAGAAAGCCTTCGAACTTCTGAGGGAGACAGGACATCCTAGCAGGCAAGTTGGCCTGGCTCCCCACGAGTGAAAACCAAATTGAGAATAACAGACCCCCAGAGACTTCACTCCTTCCGGGATCCCAGAGTTCCTTAGGCTGGGTCAACTGTCACCAACATTGCCTCAACAACCAGGCCTCCCACCTGGGAAGCTCCCAAGAGGCAGGACCTAAACAGTCAAGGTTCACTGGGCCCACGGGGCCCACTTACCTCCTTTTTAGGCTTGCTGCCATTCAGGAAGACTGGGGCTCCTTGACTGTCTAAATATAAGAACTGGTTCAAGGCCCAAATTGCCTGCCAATAACAGGGGACTGAACTGAATCCAACCAGGTATGGTGGGAAGGAGCCAACTCCAGGTGGTCTCCCCTCATCCCCAGTTTCTAGAAGCTGTTTAGAACTTTCCTTTGCCCCACCCCCAGTTTGGACCTGGGGTTGGAGGTAGATAGCTGGGGAGCTGGTTAGAGAGGGCATTCCCCCAGAAATGAGATGCAAAAGCTGACCTCCTCACAGCACTGAGAGGGTTTTTCTGCTATCACACTTCCATCCCCCAGATGGATTAAATGCCTGGTCTGGAGCTTACCCACAGTATGTTAGCTGAAAAATCCCCAAGGATCCCTAAGGCCAAATTCCAAACACCCAACCCCCACTCAAAGTCTAGCTCTGACTTGACCTCCCTCAGATGCTCCAATCCTTCTGGCTCCCACATACCTCAAGCACCTGTTTAGTGAGAACACAAAGTTTTCAGAGTCAGGGTTTCCAATGTAGCAGTTGATGCCAACATGGAGTCACTGTTCAGCCTTATAGCTAAGCTGGTCTTTCTCTGGGGCCCATGCCCTAACTCTTGGAGTGTCCTGACTGCCGCCACCAAGGGCCAGACTCAGTACCTGGTCAGGTCTCTGATTCTCTGACTTGACCCCATAGATGTACTGGGACGTGAAGAGAGGGTGGAAAGGACCTGGGACAGGGCCAAAGGGGGCAAGCCCCAAGGTCAGCTGTGGGGGGTTAGCAGCTGCTTTTGAGAGTTCTAGTCAGTTCAGGACCCCTGTTTTGAAACTTAGAGGCCTCAGCGGAAGAAGCCCAGGTTCCTATTCGTTAACAGGGAGGCTCTCCCCCTGCTACCTCAATTTCCTCCTCTGTAGAGGCGGCGGAGGGCGGTGGGGCGCGCCCGGGCGTCTTGCCAAACAGCTTCTGGGGTCCCCGCCAGCCACAGGCTGTCCTCAGAATCTGTGTGTCTGCGGGGGTGTCACACGAGCGCAGCCCCTTCCCCATCGACTTCCATCCAGTCTCTGGGTGGAGCTGCCCCCGACCCCCGCCCCGGGTCAAGAGGGCTCGAGACCTCACCTTGACTCGGACCCGGACCACCTCCCGCTGCTCCTCGTCTTCGGCTGCCCCCGCCGCTCCTCCGCTCCCCGGGGAGGCCGCCATCCCGTCTCCTGTGACCCGGGGCCCAGCGGCCTCGCACCGGCACCAACACCGCCGCCACCTCCCAGGGTGACAGTTACCTTCCGAGTGCGCAGGCGCATACGCCCACAGGGGGCTCTCGAAGAGGTCCGCTCCCCAGCCCCCAGGAGCCGTGCGCCTGCGCACTCCCTCGTGGCCGGGACTAGCCGGCCCTCTCCCACCCCTTCGAGATTTCCGTTACTATTGCCCCGCCTTCTGCATCCCGGTAGGCGAGCGAGCACAGCTCCACCCCGTCCTGCTGCTCTAGAGTGCGTATCCCCTTCTTCTCTCCCGAAGGTGACAGTCCCCGCCGCTCTGGGCCGGGGGATCTCGGGTCAGCCGACGCTAAGCTGAGCCCGATGCGCAGGCGCAGGGCGGAGACCAGGCGCGCCCACGTCACAGCGGTGGGCGGAGCTTCCCGTGCGTGCATGAGTTCCCTCCCTCTCCCACGCAGCCGGGTACAGAGTTACCCGCGGGCCTCGGCTAGTGACCTGGCACCGTTCGCCGTGCCGCCTACCAGTGAAATCGGATGGCCCAAGTTCCCAGGGCCCCTGCCAGCCCTCCACTACTGTGTCTTTCCTGAACACTCATTCTTGTGCCAGCCATGACTGCCTCCCCCCAGCACCTGCCGGGAGGTGGGGTGGGTATCTCCTCCCTGATTCTGCACCACCGTACTCATTCACTCACTGGGCATTTGGGGCCTCCTTCAGCAGCCTTTATTAACACTGTCACGGGCAGATCTTTGGGGGTGGGATGGGGGGTGGTGGTGAAGACCAGGTCCCTGCACTGCCCCACAAGTTAAGCAAGTGAGGAAGAAGCTACCCGAACAATACACTGCTACAAAAATCCAACAGTGCCAGGAGGGAGGGATGGCTCAATGTGAGAAAGTGCTTCCAAGGGACCCTCTTCCCACTCCCCCACCCCCACCCCAGTGGAGGTCTTCACTGGAGATGCTCGTGCTGCCTTCTCCAGGCTTGGGGGCCAGCAGCAACATCTGCCAACGACTGGGCAAGCACCAGTTGTCGCCAGGCATCCAGGAGGAGGGCAGAAGGCACAATGATCCACAAGGCATTCAGGAAAACGAAGTAGAACCAAAAATAGAGTGGATGCCCAAGCTCCCCATGCTGGAAGCCATCTCGATACTCAGTGAGGAAATAAAGGACATCACCATACAGCTGGCCTGAGAGCAAAGCCCCCCAGAGACTAGTCAACATACAGGAAGGAGAACCAGGATCCAGCAACCCAGCCTTCAAAGTCTCCCTGCCTCCCTCCCCCACTCCCAAAAGGCCCACTCACCTAAGGAAATAACAAGCTGGAGAAGGAAACGCTCTGGCCTCTGTTGCAGAAAGGCCCCCACAGCCCACAAGCTGAGTGGGCCCCACACCCAGGCTGTCACTGTCTCCATACACACAGTGAAGTTGTCTGCTCTGTCCCGGAAGTACAATACATGACATTGGGAAAATTCCTACCACTTCCAAAGACTTCATCCATTTGCCCCAACACAGAGAAGAGCTAAGACATCCCAAAGGGAGAGGACCAATATGAGGACTCGGGGTTACTTACAGAACATAGCGGCTGTCACCCTTGGAGTACTCCTTCCCTGCAAGAGAACACAAGCCATAAAACAGCAGTCCAGGCTTGGGAGGGCTTCCCAGGGATGACTGAGTGGCTGCTGAGGGCAAAGGGCTAGGCTAGGGAAATCTTGCACTCAGTCCAGCTGAAAAGCACCAAGTGCTGGTCTGTCCTCCCTCCAAGGAAGAGGACAGCTCCCAAGAACTCCCCAAGGCCCAAGTGTCCGGCACAGGACACTCAGCAAGCTGAGATAAGAACCCCGGCCTCCCCTTCCCAACGACTCACACAACTGCGACAAGAAGGCCTGGTCCCTAGCAATGTCCTGATTGTAGACGCTGAACCAGCCTTCAATCACCATGTGCACAAAGGCACACATGGCAAACCAGCAGATTGCCAGGCGACGCCAGGGGCCCAGAGGTGGCACCAGGTTTCCACTCTCTCTCCTCCTCTGGCCAGATAACAGCCAGGTAACCACCAGGAGCGCCCCCGAGACAGAAAAGAAGACTGTGAGGATCTGCCACACTGGTCTATCGTTGGGTACATAACCACTGAGCTGGAGGTTTCGGGGCCAGTAAGGGTGTGCCACGTGAAGAGAGTTCATGGCGAGGGACAGGGAAGGAAACTTCTCTGGCCAGGATCCTAGGATGAGAAACAGAAAATGGGCTGAAGGCCGGGGGAGGCCTGAGAGGCGCCAAGAGGGGGGCTGCCCCTACCCTCGAGGATCTGGGGGTGCTGAGGCAGCGCCCCGGAGGGAAAGCTCACTTGAGTGGGGTGGGGGAGGGAGCCAGCCGAAGGTACCCGGAGGAGTCAGAAACGCATTAAGGGAAAACGAAGGAGCCAGGTGCCAGTGGGCCTGCTCATTCGGGGCTCCCAGGGTGAGGTCACCCTGCGAGGAGGGCTTCCTGGAGGCGGGGGCGGAAAGTCAAGGGAAGCCAACGTAAGCTCGGAGGAGACGGGGATACATTTTGGCTCCTGCAGAGACAGAAATGAGAGTTAGGGCGCGCACCTCCTCCCTCCCAAGCGTGAGCCCGAGGTCAGGTCAAAGCCAAGGACTCACAAGACTTCCCAGAGGCTCCCTCTGCGGCCCGACGTGGCGCGGTCTCGCTGGGGCAGTCCCGACTACCGAGACCGTTGCCAACAACAGCCCCGCCAGTCCCAGCCCTTCCCCTCCCCATCCTCCCCTCCATCCCTCCACCCCTCCGCGCAGGTTTCGGGAGGTGTCTCCACCGGGGCTCGGCCCCGCCGAGCAGCCGACCAATCACCGCCATAGGAGCTCCCCAAGGCCCGCCCCTCCGGCCTAAGCCGGTCAATGGGAGTTGAGCGCGCGTCCCTGGACTCCCTGCCCCGCCCAGGCTCCTGACTGGAGGACCACCCTAAGCCGATATGGCGCTGTCCCGTGGCCAATTGGAAGCCGCGGAACGTCCCCGGAGCCTCGCCCTGCCTGGAGCGGGCCAATGAGTGCCCACTGCGCGACCCCTACACACGTACCTCTGCCGCACCACACACGCCCAGGAACATACAAAACCCACGCACGCACACACCGTCCTCCCCACCCCCCAAACCCGCCGGTGCCGCCATCTCGGCTCTGGGAACGCCAGTCCCCGCCCCCTGGCTTAAGGGGACCAATAGGAGCTTCTAGCGCTAGAAGCTCCGCCCCCGCCCCATGCCGGTCCCCTTAGCTGCTCTCCTCAGTCCGCGGGTGGCAGAAGCCCCGGAGATCCTTTGTCGCCTTCCGGGCCCCCAGGAAGTCCCTAACCTATGTCCCTCGTTCGAGACAGGCTTATTCCTGCCTCCTTTCAGAAGACCGCAGGTCAAACCTGGAAGGTGCTACAGTCTAACCCTGACCCTCAATTTTGAATAGGAAACTGAGACTCCGGGAGAGGCAGGGCCATCTGAGCTGGAAAGGAAGGGTCCGCGAAGAAAACTCTTTTCAAAACGTTCGCGTAACCAACTAAGAGGACACTGATGAGGAGCACTGAGGAGGCCGGAGGTGCTGGGGGTGGGGGTCCCTGCCACACTTAAAGGCATTCCCATGATAATCACTTCTACCAGCACTTCTTCACACATGACCCTCCATTTCCCACCTCTGGGACTGCACCTGCTTGTGTTCCTCAGGTCTGGAAGACACTCCACCTCTGCCTCCTAGAATTTCTTTTAGGTTCTGCTCAGGTGCTGCCCACGACAAGGGCCAGCTTTCCTGACTTCCCTGTATTGTTAGCGCTCTCTCTCTCCTTCCCCAAATTCTCGTGTGAAATTCACCTGGGAACATGTCTCCCCCTTTATAATGCAATCTCTCGGAGGCCAGGCTGGGGCTGTTTCCCTTCACTCTTTTGTCTCCGTCGCCGCGCACCCACAGAGTAGGCTTGACAAAAATGCTGGTGGCTTTTGATAGAGTAGGAAGGAAAGTCCTTAAGGATATAGAATCTGCAAATCCGGCTTCAGATACTTGACACTTACTAGCTGTGTGACCCTGGGCAAGTCACTTAACCCCGATTGCCTCATCAGAAAAAAAAAAAAAAGGTATAGAATCTGGGTAGCTCTAAAACTCCAAAGAGCCGCCAACATCAAGGCAGGACTGAGGCAGACTGGGACCCACATCTTCTGACCCGCCTGCACCGCCAGCCTCACAACTTACACTGGCTGTCCAGCCTATCCAAAATCGGATGGAGAAGTCTCAAACAGCGCTGTGAAGACGCTGCTCCCTTTTCCCTCCTCCCCTCGGGTCCCCCTGCTCCCTTTTTCCTTCTTCCTCTCTTCTTTGGTCCCTCTTCTCCCTTTTTTCTTTACACCTCCTCCCTCCCCTCCTCCTCTTTGTCAGTTAATCGACATTTATTAAGCAACTACTATGTACCAGGCACTATACCTGCCCTCATGGAGTTTACAATCTAATCGGAGATTGGTTCCCCTTCTCTTCTTTTCCTCCTCCTCTTTCCCTTCGCACTCTTTGGTCTCTCTTTTCTCTTATTCTTCCCTTCCTCTTTTTCTCCTTTTTGATCCTCTTCTCTTTTTCCTCCTCCTCCTCCTCCTCCTCCTCCTCCTCCTCCTCCTCCTCCTCCTCCTCCTCCTCCTCCTCCTCCTCCTCCTCCTCCTCCTCCTCCTCCTCCTCCTCCTCCTCCTCCTCCTCCTCCTCCTCCGCCCGCGCCACACTCCCATTGGTCACGCAAATATTCTGCGCGTGTCCATTGGCAGCAGCCTTCCCCTCCACTCACCTCCTCCAGCCCCGGTAATGTACCTTTTCCCGGCTTCGACGGGCTCCCATTGGTCTACCCAACGTTCGACTCAACCTCATTGGTCACCTCTTTCATTTTTCAACCCCCCCCCCCGCTCTCTTGGCTGCCTCGGCTCCTTCTGCTCCCCCTACTTCACCCCAGTCCCATTGGTTGCGCAAACGATCTAAGCGTCTTCATTGGCTCCGAACTCTCTGGCTTAGAGCCGGCCTCCCCGCTGCGTTAAAGGGGCCGCCGTCAACCCTACGTGATTGGGGCCGGTGGAGAAGGTGGCTGGAAGGGAAGCCGCCTCGGTGGCCAACGGAGGACAAGCCGGCCAGGTAAGGGATAGGTGGAGGAAAATCCCTTCCCCATCCTCTGGGCCATAGATGGAGAAGAAAGGGGAAAGGAGGGAAAGAGAGGAGGTCCCTGGTCAGCATCCCCCCCATCTTTTCCCATCTCCTCCATCATCCCCCTCCATCCCCCTCCACTCGGACCAAAGGGGGAGGGGGAACGATGGCAAAGAGAGGGACACGCGCAGCCCCTTAACGCTCCCCCCCCCCACGGGATGCACTAGCAGGCGAACCCATCACACACACATACACACCTGCAAGGCAGCCCGTCTCACACACACACACACACACACACACACACACACACACACACTCACTCACTCACTCACTCACTTACGGCTGTACTGGCCAGTAGGCCAGCCTATCACACACAAGGATACACTGCTCGCCCAGCCCATCAGACACACACAGACACACAGACACACACCCTATACTGGCCAACAGGCCAGCCTCACAATTACACACAACAGCATGTGGCAAGCCCCTCACACATCACACCAGCATGCCAGCTCTTTACATACACACACACACACACAAATTCATGGGGATACAGCAGCAGGCCTGCCCCCTGAACTCACATATGAAGAGTGCAGCCACAGTCCTAGTCACATGCCCAGCCTGATGTGCAGGGAGGAGGGGTGGACCCAGCCTCATGACGACTTGTGCTGGGATCCCATTTCCCCCACTCTCTCATCCTTGACCAGCTCTTCGGCCCTGTCCCTGGGCTCATCGTCGCCATGGCTACCTTCAGCCGGCAGGATTTCTTCCAGCAGTTGGTGCAGGGCTGCGTGGTCCCCACTGCCCAGCAGGGCCTGGACCAGCTGTGGCTTCTGCTGGCTGTCTGCCTGACCTGCCGCCTCCTTTGGAGACTTGGTGAGTGGGCTGCGCCATTCCTTGATCCCTCTGGGAGGAGAGGAGGGCAGAGGAGCAGGGGGCTTCCTGGAGGCTGGGTCCTGGGGGGGACCCAGACTTTGAAGAGGCTGGCTCCTTGGGGTTGGGGGGGCTTTCTGGAAGTTGGCTGAGAGGTACTTCCTGGAGGGGAACTGGGCTTCCTAGAAGCTGACTCCTCAGGGTTGCAGGGGAAGTTTTCCTGAAGGCTGGCTTGGGGCGGAGGGTACTTCCTGGAGGCTAGCTATTGGGGGAGAGCTTTCTGGAAGGGAACCAGGCTTCCTCGAGGGGGCTTTTCAGGGTACAGGGTAGGGTGAAGGGCACTTCCTGAAGGCTGGCTTGGGGGGGGTGGCTTCCTAGAGGCTGGCTCCTCAGGGTTGGGGGGAGGCCTTTCTGGAGACTGACTTCTAGGGGAGGGCACTTCCTGGAGGCTGCCTTTGGAGGAGGCCTTTCTGGAGGCTGGCTCCTCAGCCGGGGTGGGTGGGGTCCTCCCTGTCACTCTGCAGGGTTACCCCCAGCTGTGAAACATGCTAGCACGGTGGCTGGCGGCTTCTTCAGCCTCTACCACTTCTTCCAACGGCACATGGTGTGGGTGGTGCTGCTCAGCCTTCTGTGCTACCTGGTCCTCTTCCTGTGCCGACACTCATCTCACCGCGGGGTCTTCCTCTCTGTCACCATCCTCATCTACCTTCTGATGGGGGTAGGGGCCCTGGGCCGAGGGACAGGGAAGCTAGAGGAGATGGGGCGCTTTGCTGGGGTGGCCAGAGGGAGCTGGGGAAGAGAAACAAACAATGGACCTTAAGGCATCTCGCAGGGAGATGCACATGGTGGATACTGTGACCTGGCACAAGATGAGGGGTAAGTACCCCACCCAGGGCAGAAGCCCCCAATCCTGAGCCCTTTCCCCTCCCATCCCTCAGTACCTTCCTTGGCCCCTGGTTGGTTGGCTGGTCCCCCCCCCCCCACGCTGGCCCCTTGGGTGCATGCGCCTGCCGTCGTCCGCCTGCTCGCTCACCTGCAGGGGCCCAGATGATCGTCGCCATGAAGGCTGTGTCCCTGGGTTTTGACCTGGATCGGGGTGAGCTGGGCGCAGTCCCCTCCCCTGTGGAGTTCATGGGCTACCTCTACTTCGTGGGCACCATCGTCTTCGGGCCCTGGCTTCACTTCCGCAGCTATCTCCATGCTGTCGAGGGCCGACCACTGGTGACAGGGCAGGGGCTGTGGGCTGGTGACAGGGTGGGAGGAGGCCGGCCAGGGCAGCCCCTGACAGCCATCTCCCCGCCTCCCCCATGTCCTTGCAGAGCTTCACATGGCTGGGGAAGGTGGCCGGGAGCCTGGCCCCGGGCCCTCCTATGCCTGGTGGTCTCCACTTGCGTGGGCCCTTACCTCTTTCCCTACTTCATCCCGCTCTATGGGGACCGGCTGCTGCGCAGGTGAGCCAAAGTGCAGACTGTAGGGCCTGTGGCCCACCCCTAGCATCGCCCCTTCTTCCGCCTTCTAACCTACACTCTGGTCTGCCTCCCATTCCGAGTACCCCTGACTTTTTCTCCTCTCCCCTCCCCATGCCTCCATATCTACAGCAAGAAACGCCAAGTGAGGTAAGTGGCGCCCTGCTTACCCACTCAGGCTTGTCAGCCCCTCCTCATGTCCTCCGTGTTCCTGCTGACGCTTCTCTCTTCTCTCTTCTCCCTCCTTTGTACTTCATCCCTCAGGGGCGCTGTGGCCAGGTGAGTCTCTGTGGAGGTGAAGCAGGTTAAAGTCTGGGTGGCTGGTGGGGGGGGGCACTACGACACCCCGCTCTTCTCCCACCCCAGGTGGCTGCGCGCCTATGAGAGCGCCATCTCATTCCACTTCAGTAACTACTTTGTGGGTTTCCTGTCAGAAGGCACAATGACGCTGGCTGGGGCAGGCTTCACAGAGGAGAAGGACCACTTGCGGTGGTAGGGGATCACCCTCAGGAGGCTGGGCTTTGTGGGGGGCGGTGGCCAGCATAGCCCTTCCTCCTAACCACTCACCCCCTGCAGGGACCTTACTGTGTCGAGGCCCCTGAACGTGGAGCTCCCCAGGTCCATGGCTGAGGTTGTCACCAGCTGGAACCTGCCCATGTCACACTGGCTCAATTCCTGTGAGACCCATCCCTGGCCCGCTGCGGGAGGCCAGGCCAGGGATCTGGCCCTGGGGAGGGAGGAAGCTGGGCACTTCTCTCTCTCCGTCCCCTTTTCTTCCCAGATGGCATGACAGACCTTGATCTGTCCCAGGGTTGGAGGTGGGGAAGGGGAGGGGAAAGAGGCTGGGAACCTGCCCTGCCCCCAACAAACCAAAGCAATCTGGGAAGAGTGAAGCTCATTCCCTGACCTTCTCCAGATGTTTTCAAGAATTCCCTTCGCCTCGGCAAGCTCTCAGCCCTCCTTGTGACCTATGCTGCCAGCGCCCTCCTGCATGTAAGCAGTGGGCGAGGTGGAGGTTCGGGGCTTTCCCTTCTTGCCCCACCTCTGCCCCATGGCCTCGCCTTCTCTCCACCCCCCAGGGCTTCAGTTTCCATTTGGGGGCTGTGCTGCTCACCCTCGCCTTCATCACGTATGTGGAACATGGTGAGATGCCTCTTTTCCCCCCTCTTCAACTCACCTCATCTTCTAGAGGACCTTATCTTTCCCTCCCCTTTCCTGCGTGCCTCATCCCCTTCCCCAGGCCCTGAAAGCCTCCCTTTGGAACCTCGACCTTCAAAGAACTGCCAATTCTCCTCTCCTCGTCCTCAGTGCTCCGGAAGCGGCTGGCTACCATCTTCAATGCGTGTGTCCTCTCTAAGCGCTGCCCCCCAGACTGTCCGCACCAACATCGCAGGGTGAGATGACTTGCCCTTTCCTTCCCCCAGAACCTGCCTCAACCGACCAAGGTGCCCTTGTTTCCCTCCCTGACCTCTCCTCCCTTCCTCCTAAAGCCTGGACATAGTCATCATGCCCACCCCTTCTGGGATACTCTCACCTCTCTTTCAGACCAGCTCCAAATCTCACCACCCCATTCCCCGTGTCCTCCCCAGGGTCTGGGCGTGCAGGTGCTGAACCTGTTCTTCAGAGCCCTAGCTGTCTTCCATTTGGCCTATCTGGGCTCCCTCTTTGATGTGGACACTGATGATGCCACTGAGGAACAGGTAGGGTTTGGATGAAATCACCCACAAACCAACGGAGGGTCTGGAAAGGCCTGAGGGATGGGGAGTTGCTTGGCCATTCTTTGGGTGGCCATCACTAATAATGCCCAGCAGTTACCCCTGTCCTGTCCCCAGGCCCGTCAGGGCAGGGGTGGCCAGGGCCTCTTTACCACTGCCATCCTCATCCCCTTCCCAGGGTTACGGCATGTCCCACACCATCCGCAAGTGGTCTGAGCTTGGCTGGGCCAGTCACTGGCTCACTTTCAGCTGCTGGATCTTCTATCGCCTCATCAGCTGAGGGCCCTCCCCCACCTCCCCTTCTCTTTCTTCCCCCTTGTGGGTCCTAAGTACCTGCCCCTGGGCATACAGTGGAGTCCTGGCCACTGTGGCTCCCCTCCCCCAAAGGGGCTCTGGGGCTTTGGGGGGGAGGGGTCCTTGGAGGGCAGGACCCTGAGACCATGTCTTCCACCCCCACATTCTGCTAGAAAGTTCCCCTTTTTATAAATGGTTTGTTATTGTCAGATAAAACTAGGTAAGGCACAAGTGGCCGAGCTGTGTGTGTGAGCTATTTCCCTAATTTGGAGCTGCTTGCTCTGAGCCCTCCCACCAATCAAGAGGCAGGACACACTGGGGCTATGGAATTCAGAGGGCCTTTTATTGGCCAGGTTGGGAGCCCAGGGCTTTGCTCCTTGTCCACTTGCTCCTGCTCTGGCCTGTGAGGGCTCCTAGATGCACAAGCCAGGTCCCCAGTCTTCTTTGAGGATGCAGGCCTCTTGCCAAGACAAGTAGACTCAGGGCCTCCTGCAGGCTGACCCAGAAGGAACAAAGGGACCATCAGAGAGACCTGGATGATGTGCAGGTCTTGGGTGGCAAGAAGGGCTGAGTTAGACCACAGAGGCTGTGAAAGGAGACCAGGAACCAGCAGAGAGAGCTCCTTACTTTCTCCAGCTGTGACCTAGTGGGGGGCTCAGCATGCTGGGGGACACAAACAGATCAAGGGCACATGGCCCTGGCAGACCACACATGCCCCCAGGAGGGCGGGGAAGAGGGAAGGTTGGCTGTGGAAAGTGGGAGAGTGATGGTCCAGAATGGAAAGCAAGACCCCAGGAGACTCTAACGATGGACTCTGGAGTAGAGATGGGACAGCAGGGAGGGGGCGTTCCAACCCTAACCCTCATTTTACAAGTGAGGAAACTGAGGATGGTGCCTAGAGAAGGGCCACAGGTAGGAGCAGGTCAGAGATTCTCCCCCAGATCCTGTAGCCCATTCATTACAACCTGCTGCTGCCTTCTCTCTAATCCAGTCTGAAGACCGCCCCAAATCCTCACCTTCTGAGTGTTCTGATGGCCATGCTCAGAGCTGCCTGGGCTACTGCTACTTCTTCCTGCATGGCCTTTCTGCCATTATAACCTGCCTTGCCAAATTCACTTTTCCAAAGCCCAGGCCCAACCCAGTTCCTCCTCAGCTCCCAAAGCTCCCCATGGTTCAGAGGATCAAGTTGGGCCCCATTGACACAAGCCAGCTTCTAGCTGTTCCTCCATAGCTGGCAGGCAGCTCTCCCCTGTCCCTGGGTCTGTCCTCTAATAGCTCTGGATTGGAAGGTCAGAAGGTCAGCGCTGGAAGGTATGGTCACGTGTCCCCACCCTCCTCACATGTCCCTGCCCTCCTCCTCGGCTTGGACCAGACTCTTAAGCTACAGAGGTCAGGGGCTGGATTTGATGCCACTCCAAGAGATCATGGGCTCTGGGGCCAGAATCCGTCTGCCCCTGAGGAAGGGGCAGAGTCAGAGTCAAGGTCAAGGAAGGGTCAAGAGTCAAACTGCAGGGAGAGGAAACTTGGACGGACCCTGGAGGGAGAGGCTGCGCTGGCCACAGAGTGGAAAAGGGGAAGAAGCAGAGGATAGACGTGGGAAAATCAGCCTCTTGAAAGAAGCTGACTGGCAAGGGGCACAATGGACTGGAGGTAGGCAAGTCAAGAGGTTGCCTCCCTTCCCCCACTCACCAGTGCTAGAGTTGTGGCTGCTCCTGGGCTTGGCACAGATGACATTAGGGAGAAGGAGCTGAAGCTGGAAGAAAAGCAGAGTCAAGGCTTGGCCCTGAGGGGATGGGGCAAGAGGTGACTCCCCTACCAGAACATTTGCTCTAGTCCTTACCTTTGCAAGAAAGCTCCTTCCAGGCTTCAGAATAAGGAGACAGGGATGGGCTTGGGTCATCCTTAATCCCTGGAGGCCTGGGCTTCAGGCGGGTGGGAAGACCCAGAAGAGATGTGGGAGGTCTTCAGGGGCAGGCCAGGGGGCTTTTCAAGGATACTGGGACCAGGGAGGGTGATGAGACACAGTCAAAAGGAGTGGAGTCTAGGTGTACTCATCTGTGATGTGTAGCCCAGTGACTATGGGGAAAGAGGCAGTTGGAGACAGTCACCAAAAGCTGTAACAAGGGACTAGGAATTACAAGAGAAGACAAAAGCAGATGGGTACAAGGCAAGAGAGCAGTGGCATTTGCTGGGCTGAACTAACTTGCTGCCTGAGCTCCTAACCTGGAGCTAGGCCCTTGCCCTGCCCACCATCAGTAGCCCTGTCCCCTAGAACAAAGCCAGCTGGTTGCCCCTTGAAGTGGTAAATGATTTCCTGGGCAGTGGCCACCTGGTAGGGATGGATAGGGTCTACGACAGAGGAGAGGACTCCCGCCTTGCAGGTAATAGTAATGTCTACCTGGAGCGGTGACCACAATACCGGCCAGGAAGAGAAGCTGGTGGCAGAAGCGGGCCATAAGGGCTTTGCACCTGCTAGCTTCCGTTTCCCAGATCCCTAGGGCTTGGATGCATATCTCCAAAGGCACAACCCGAGTCCGATGAGGCAGGCAAGAGCACACACGAAGGCAGCTGGAGGCAGCCTTACCCTAGTTTCTGGCTCAGGTTTCTGGGGGCAGTGAAAAGGTCCACAGCCCAGCTCATCCCCATCAGCCAGCTCTGGGGGACTCGGGGGAGAAACACTTCCTGGGCGGCCCTCCCAGCCCAGAATCTTAAAAGCTGCCAGGAAAGTCCTCCCTCCTCCAGCCCCAGGGATGGCTACACAGATGCACCGATGGACGCTCCCATCTGACCCGCGGACCCGAGAGAAGCGAGAGCCTCTTTCCCAGCAGAGGCCGCAGGTCCCGGGACACGCGGCCTGCAAACAACGTGACCCAAAGGCGCCCGCCCCCCGACATTAGGAGGCGCGGCGGGGCGGGGGGGGGGAGTGGGGTTAATTGAGCGCAGGCGCCCTAGCCCCAACACGCCGGCGTGCAATCTACGCAGGTGCAAGCGCACTACCCTCTGGGGCTTGTAGTCCTTTCCACTTTTCCTTCCCGCGAGCGCCGTTGCCCAGTACCCTGAGCTGGGGCTAAGCCACGCAGGAACACGCCAGGTGCTTTCTCTCCCTAGCTGCGACACTGGCGGCGGGAGCCAGAAAGACCCGCTCCCCTCTTTCTTTCCTTCTGGATAATTCCTCAAACGGGCGCGGTTGTCCTCGCGGGGGCGGGGCGGTCACGTCGCGTCCCGGCTGGCGGAGGGGTGGGGTGGGGGTGGGCGGAGGAAGACTAGCCTGGGAGGGAGGCTTGGATTGGCTCGGCGGGTCGGTGGGCGGTGCCGCGGCCGCCCCCTGACCTCCAGGCCAAGCCCGCTCAGAGGCGGCGGGCGTGCGCCTCGGCCTGGGCCTTAGCCCTGTCGCATAAACGCCGAAGCCGGGTCCGGAAGGCCTCAACCTGGGAGCAGATGGCGGCCACTTCCGTGCAGAGGGTCTGGGCGTGTGCGCACACGCTCTCCTCCTCGGCCGCGGCCCTGACCTTGGGTCGAGCCTCGCTCCCTCCGGGAGCCCACCGGCTTTGAGGGCCAGGGCTGGGTAGGGACCAGGGCCTAAAGCTGCGGAGCCGGAGAGTCGGGAAGGCCCGCATCAGCCTTGCGGCGAGGGCAGGCGGAGAGGAGCAGCAGGAGCCGCGAGCAGCTCCGGACTGCGGGCCCGACGTCCGATTGGGCAGCCGCATGGGTGACGTCACAGGGCTCTGGGCGGGGCTCCTGGGGGCGGGGCCGAGGCTCACCCAGAGTGGGGCGGCCCCTCCTCCCCACCAAGTGGCTTTTTGGGCACTTCGCCGGCCCTATCGACTCACCCTGCCCCCTTTGGATCCTCCCGAGATTCTTTTTTTTATTTCCATTTTATTTTCAGTTTCGAATTTCTCCTCCCCCTCCTCCACCCATTGAGAAAACAAGAAAAATACATCGACAGGTACAAACATGAATAGTCAAATAAAACAAATTAGCCACGTCCCAAAAAATTGACTCAGTCACCCTCAGAGTCCATCACTGTCCAGAAGTGGAACGCAGGCTTCATCCCGAGTCTTTTGGAATTGTGGTTGGTCGCTATAGTGATGAGAGTTCCCAAGTCTTTCACAGTTAAATATCCTTACACCATCACTGTTAGCGTCCAAGTTGTCCTTGGGATTCTGCTCACTTCCCACTGCATCAGTTCATACAAGTCTCCCCAGGTTTCTCAGACACCACCCCCTTCATCATTTCTTCCAGCACAGTCATATGCCATAGTTGATTCAGCCACTCCCCAGTTGTTGGGCGTCCCTCAGATCCCAATTCTCTGCCGCTACACAAAGAGCTGCTATAAATATTTTGTACAAATGGGTGGGTCCTTTTCTTTGTTTCCCAGCTTGCTATTTTCCATCTAATCTTGGTTGCATTGGTTTTGTTTGTGCAGAAACTTTTTAATTTGATGTAATCAAAATGATCCATTTTACATCTCATAATGCTTTCTACGTCCCATTTAGTCAACAATTCTTTCTTTCTCTATAAATCTAACACATAAACTATTCCTTGCTCTCTTAATTTGCTTGTGGTATCACCCTTTATGTCTAAAGCATGTACCCATTTTGATCTTATCATGATATATTGTATAAGGTGTTGGTCTATACCTCGTTTCTGCCATACTCTTTTCCAGTTTTCCCAGCAGTTTTTGTCAAATAGTTTTTATTCCAGAAGGTGGGGTCTTTGGGTTTATCTAATACTAGATTACTGTGATCATTTACTGCTGTGTCTTGTGTACCTAATCTATTCCACTGATCAACTACTCTATTTCTTAGCCAGTGCCAGATAGTTTCTATGATTGACATTTTATATTATAGTTTGAGATCTGATATGGCTAGACCACTTTTTTGCATTTTTAAAATTAATTTCCTTGATATTCTTTTTTTTAAGCTTTTATTTAGTATTTTATTTTCCCCCAGTTACATGTAAAAACAACTTTTAACATTCTAGTTTTTTTTTTTAGGCAGTTGGGGTTAAGTGACTTGCCCAGGGTCACACAGCTAGTAAGTGTCAAGTGTTTGGTCTGAAGCTGGATTTAAACTCAGGTCTCCTGACTCCAGGGCCAGTGCTTTATCCACTGTGCCACCTAGCTGCCCCAACATTAATTTTTAAAAATTCTCTCCCTCCCTTCCCATCCCCCCTGATTGAGAAGGCAAGCAGTTTGATATAGGTTATACATGTATAATCATATAAAACATATCCATGATAGTCATGTTGTGAAAAAACAGGCAAAAAAACTCAAGAAAAATAAAATTTTAAAAAGTATGCTTCCTTATGGAAGTGATTGCTGATAATTCAAAATAAATTAATTAAAAATTAAAAAAATAAAAATAAAAAAGTATGCTTCAATCTGTATTCAGACATCATCCGTTCTTTCTCTGGAGATGGATAGCATTTTTCTTTTTTTTATAATTAATTTATTTTTAGTTTTCAACATTCACTTCCATAAGATTTTGAGTTTTAAATTTTCTCCCGGGGCAGCTAGGTGGCACAGGGCATAGAACACTGGCCCTGGAGTCAGGAGGACATGAGTTCAAATCCAGCCTCAGACCAGACACTTGACACTTACCAGCTGTGTGACCCTGGGCAGGTCACTTAAACCCAATTGTCTCACCAAAAAAAAAAAATTCTCCCCCTCCCATTTATTCCCCCCCCCAGATGGTGTACAATCTACATATACATTCATGTTAAGCATATTTTCCCATTAGTCATGATGTAAAGAACAATTAGAACTAATGGGAGGAACCACAGGAATGAAGCAATAAAACAAAACAACAAAGGAAAAGGAGAGAAAATAGTGTGCTTCGATCTGCATTTAAACTCCATAGTTTTCTTCTTTGTGGACAGCATTTTCCATCATGAGCCCCTTGGAGATGTCTTAGATCCTTGTATTGCTGAGAAGGGTTAAGTCTATCAAAGTCAGTCATCACACAACGTGGCTGTCACTGTGTACAACATTCTCCTGGTTCTGCTCACTTCACTCAGCATCAGTCCATACAAGTCTTTCCAGGTTTTTCTGAAGTCTGCCTGCTCGTCATTTCTTACAGCACAATAGTATTCCATTACATTCATATACCGCAGCTTGTTCAGCCATTCCCCAATGGATGGGCATCCTCTCAATTTCCAATTCTTTACCACCACACAAAGAGCTGCTATGAGTATTTTTGTGCATGTGGGTCCTTTTCCCATTCTTATGATCTCTTTGGGATACAGACCTAGAAGTGGTATTGCTCTGTCAAAGGGTATGCACATTTTTGTAGCCCTTTGGGCATAGTTCTAAATTGCTCTCCAGAATGGTTGGATCATTTCACAACTGGTGGGTAGCATTTTTCATCATAAGTCCTTCAGAGTTGTCTTGGATCATTGTACTGCTGGGAATAGCTAAGTCATTCACAGCTGATCATTGTACAATATTGCTGTTACTTTGTACACAGTACATTTCGCTTTGCATCAGCCCATGCAAATATTTCCAGGTTTTTCTGAGAGCATCCTGCTCCTCATTTCTTATAATGCAATAGTATTCCATCATAATCACATACTACAACTTGTTTACCCATCCCGCAATTGATGGGCTTCCCCTCAACTTCTAATTCTTCACTCCCAGAAAAGAACTGCTATAAATATTTTTACACATATAGGTCCTTTTCCTTTTTGTTTTTTTATCTTTTATGGGATACAGATCTAGTAGTGGTGCTGCTGAGTCAAAGGGTATGCATGGTTTTATAGCCCTTTGGGCATAGTTCCAAATTGCTCTATAGAATGGTTGAATCAGTTTACAACTCCACCAACAGTGCATTAAAATTTCATTTTTCCCACATCCCCTCCAACATTTGTCATTCTCCTTTTCTGTCCTATTAGCCAATCTGATAGGTATGAGGTAGTACCTCAGAATTGTTTTAGTTTGCATTTCTCCAATCCATAGTGAGTTAGAATATTTTTTCATATGGCTATAGATAGCTTTGATGACTTCATCTGAAAACTGATCATATCTTTTGATCACTTATCAATTGGGGAATGGCTCTTATTTTTATAAATTTGATTCACTTCCCTATATGTTTGAGAAATGAGGCCTTTATCAGAGAAACTTGTTTCAAAAATTTTTTTCACAGTTACTACTGCTAACTCTATCCTCCCATTTATTCTATTCTCTGTCCCTTCACCCTGTCCCTCCTCAAGTATTTTGCTTCTGACTACCCCCTCCTCCAATCTGCCCTCCCTTCTATCACCCCCCCTTCTCTTACTCCCTTCCCCACCAACTTTCATAGATTTCTATACCCAATTGAGTGTGTATGTTATTCCTTCTTTGAGCCAGTTCTGATGAGAGTAAGGTTCACTCATTAGCCCTCACTTCCAACCTCTTCCCCTCCACTGTAAAAGCTTTTTCTTGCCTCTTTTATGTGAGATAATTTACCCCATTATACCTCTCCCTTTGTCTTTCTCCCAGTACATTCTTCTCTCATTCATTTTATTTTTTAGATATCATTCCTTCATATTCAACTCACACCTATGCCCTCTGTCTATATATATTCCTCCTAATAATGAGAAAGGTCTTATGAATTACAGATATTATCTTTCCCTGCAGGAATGCACACAGTTCTACCTTAATAAGTCCCTTATGATTTCTCTTTCCTGTTTACTTTTTCATGTTTCTCTTGAGTCTTGTATTTGAAAGTCAAATTTTCTCTTCAGCTCTGGTCTTTTCATCAAGAATGCTTGAAAATCCTCCATTTTATTGAATGACCATTTTTCCCCTGAAGGATTATACTCAGTTTTGCTGAGTAGGTGATTCTTGGCTGTAATCCTTTCTCCTTTGCCCTCCAGAATATCATATTCCAAGCCCTCCAATCCTTCAACATAGAAGCTGCTAAATCTTGTGTGATCCTGACCCGTGTTTCCACAA